ACGAACGACCACCCAGGAGAGGAGTGTGCTGCTGGTTAACCTCTTGGCCCCAATTAGAGCGTTGTGGTTAACCGCAGACACCTCTCCATTCCATTCGTACGGGTGGTCGTCGTTCGCATGTCGACCACGAGGCAGCGGCCATTTTGGGACATACGAACACAGAGCGGTGTTCGGTACAAACTGTATGGAACTAAAAACGGACACTTAAACTACCGAACACCGCTGAAAAGCTGCTGCCTACCTTCCTTTTCGACAAGGCATGCGAACGTCGGTCGTTCGGGAGTTTTATTCATTCGTATGGACTTTTACCCCGACAGCCATCCCATGGAGTCATTCGTATACCGAAGGACTGGTGAAAGACTTTGACTCCATGGCGATTCGACTAGATACATCGGATCTGAGCGCTATTCGGTGAAAACATGCCCTCAGATCCAGGCTGTCTGGGGATACGTTACACGAACAATATGCATTCGGTATTTCTGTAGTTATGTATTTTAATGTCTTTTTGTTACTATAATTTAAGATGGCGATGGTCTCTACCTTGGGAGATAATTAGGTTTCTTCCCCAATTATCTCCAAGGTAAAGAAGACGGAATTATGGGCAAGATGGGAAGGGCTATTATTGAAGCCACTGCGATTGGCTACTGTCCAATATGTGTTACAGTCTTCCACAAGGTCCCCTCGGGGAGTGTCCACCTTGTGGAGACCTGCATAAATACCGGGCAGGTAGCCCCATTAAACAGATCTTCATTTGACCCTCAAGACGGAGCTTGGTCTCGTTTGTGGGGGGAATTATTACTGGGACAGCGCTTTCGTTATTTCTAGCTGTGGAAGGCGTTCGACTGTTTGGCTGATCGGGAGTTGCCGTGTTCGCGGACTTCGTTCGGGAGTTTGGCGATCGGCTGGATTTAAACCTGCATTTCTGGAGAAGGGGATTATTGCCTAAACGGCGGCTTCATCTACCCGACGGTACGTGTCGTAACACTTGTGAAGCTGAAGGTCCACTTATTGTAGTATTCTCCAGTCTTTACTCTGGTCTCAGTGAAGGTCAGAGACAGGACGAGGGGACATGCTGGATGAATTTGCAGAAGAGATGCATGGGGGCGCTGCTTTGTTGGGGGCACTGAAGGCCAATGTAAGATCTTTGAACTTTAGCCTGACAGCCACAGGAAACCCTTTGTTTCATGTTATATGACATGCTCGCTACGGGTGCAGTAAAAACAGCTGCCGCCGAGCTGATCCCAACATCTCCTCTCCGATTTCTGTTATTTTTGTACATCAGAGGAAGTGAAGAAATTAATGGCAGCTTCTGACTCCTAACTCCCATGACCCTCCTCCATTCACTGATACCCGGTGGACCAGGCTGTAAGAGTTCTAGAGCCCGTGCCCTGTTACAAACAACCTAAATTGGTGTTTAAAGCCTATCACAGGCCAAATGCTGCATCAAGATGTGAAACCGCAGGAGGCTCAAGTTACCCTTTTATTCCAGATGGAACCTTAACCCGTTCTCTGGCAGATTTGTTCAAATAGGGTAAAATGTCACCTTCAAACTAGCCGATAAAACATTCCCTTTATAAACAGTGAAATAAATAAAGCCCAAAACACAGTATTAATCTATTAAACATCAAATGAATTAGACAGAACATCCACTTACACCTAAAAATGGCATTTTATAGAAAATCGCCTGGAGTATGAGTGAACACAGTATAACACTGAACACACACGGTATAACACTGAACGCAATGCACACAGTGTCAAACATGGAATGCACACAGTATAAACAGAACACACACAGTATAACACTGAACGCAATGCACACAGTGTCTAACATGTAACACACACGGTATAACACTGAACACACACAGTATAACACTGAACGCAATGCACACAGTGTCTAACATGTAACACACACAGTATAACACTGAACACACACAGTATAACACTGAACGCAATGCACACACTGTCTAACATGTAACACACACGGTATAACACTGAACACACACAGTATAACACTGAACGCAATGTACACAGTGTCAAACATGGAATGCACACAGTGTAAACCGAACACACACAGTATAACACTGAACGCAATGCACACAGTGTCTAACATGTAACAGACACAGTATAACACTGAACACACACAGTATAACACTGAACGCAATGCACACAGTGTCAAACATGGAATGCACACAGTGTAAACCGAACACACACAGTATAACACTGAACGCAATGCACACAGTGTCTAACATGTAACAGACACAGTATAACACTGAACACACACAGTATAACACTGAACGCAATGCACACAGTGTCAAACATGGAATGCACACAGTATAAACAGAACACACACAGTATAACACTGAACGCAATGCACACAGTGTCTAACATGTAACACACACAGTATAACACTGAACACACACAGTATAACACTGAACGCAATGCACAGTGTCTAACACAGAACGCACACAGTATAACACTGAACGCAATGCACAGTGTCTAACACGGAACGCACACAGTATAACACTGAACGCAATGCACAGTGTCTAACACGGAATGCACACAGTATAACACTGAACGCAATGCACAGTGTCTAACACGGACCGCAATGCACAGTGTCTAACATGTAATGCACACAGTATAACACTGAACGCAATGCACAGTGTCTAACAAGGAACGCACACAGTATAACACTGAACGCAATGCACAGTGTCTAACACGGAACGCACACAGTATAACACTGAACGCAATGCACAGTGTCTAACACGGAACGCACACAGTATAACACTGAACGCAATGCACAGTGTCTAACACGGAACGCACACAGTATAACACTAAACGCAATGCACAGTGTCTAACACGGAATGCACGCAGTATAACACTGAACGCAATGCACAGTGTCTAACACGGAACGCAATGCACAGTGTCTAACACGGAACGCACACAGTATAACACTGAACGCAATGCACAGTGTCTAACACGGAACGCACACCATATAACACTGAACGCAATGCACAGTGTCTAACACGGAACGCACACAGTATAACACTAAACGCAATGCACAGTGTCTAACATGGAACGCACACAGTATAACACTGAACGCAATGCACAGTGTCTAACACGGAACGCACACAGTATAACACTAAACGCAATGCACAGTGTCTAACACGGAACGCAATGGACAGTGTCTAACACAGAACGCACACAGTATAACACTGAACGCAATGCACAGTGTCTAACACGGAACACACACAGTATAACACTGAACGCAATGCACAGTGTCTAACAGAACGCACACAGTATAACACTGAACGCAATGCACAGTGTCTAACACGGAACGCACACAGTATAACACTGAACGCAATGCACAGTGTCTAACACGGAATGCACACAGTATAACACTGAACGCAATGCACAGTGTCTAACACGGAATGCACACAGTATAACACTGAACGCAATGCACAGTGTCTAACATGGAACGCAATGCACAGTGTCTAACATGCAATGCACACAGTATAACACTGAACGCAATGCACAGTGTCTAACACGGAACGCACACAGTATAACACTGAACGCAATGTACAGTGTCTAACATGACACGCACACTGTGTCTAACACGGAACGCACACAGTAGATCAGTGAACACACACAGTGTGTAACATGGAACGCACACAGTGTGCAAGGTTCAGGACAGAATGTCTTAAGATATTCTGTATTCACAGGTACAGCATTGGAGAGATAGGGTCGCGCACAGTTATTAATGTTTATTAAAGTGTAATCCTTTCTGAGCTGGCCTGCCCCCTCCCAGAGTTTCAAATAAATAATTTATAAAACTCACCTGGTTTCCAGCACCAAGGCCAGGTTCCCCTGAAGCCCAATCTTCCTCAGCTGACATCAGGGAGGATAGGCTTCGGGTAAGCCAGAGGGCGGCACGGAGGAGGGGCATGCTGCCGTCAATGCCAATTTTATACAACCCTACCAATCATATTGGTCTATACTGCCAGTCACAGTATGTATCCTGCCAGTCACAACATCTACCCTGCCAGTCACAGCCCATATTGGTCTATACTGCCAGTCACAGTGTCTACCCTGCCAGTCGCTGCATCTACCCTGCCAGTCACAGCCCATATTGGTCTATACTGCCAGTCACAGTGTCTACCCTGCCAGTCACAGCATCTACCCTGCCAGTCACAGCCCATATTGGTCTATACTTCCTGTCACAGTGTCTATCCTGGCAGTCACAGCATCTACCCTGCCAGTCACAGCCCATATTGGTCTATACTGCCAGTCACAGCATCTACCCTGCCACTCGCAGCTCAGATTAATTTATCCTCCAGTCACAGCATCTATCCTGCCCATCACAGCGTCTACCGTGCCAGTCACAGCATCTACCCTGCCAGTCACAGCTTAGATTGGTCTGTCCTGTCAGTCACAGTGTCTACCCTGCCAGTCACAGCATCTACCCTGCCAGTCACAACCCATATTGGTCTATACTGCCAGTCACAGTGTCTACCCTGCCAGTCACAGCATCTACCCTGCCAGTCACAGCCCATATTGGTCTATACTGCCTGTCACAGTGTCTACCCTGCCAGTCACCGCATCTACCCTGCCAGTCACAGCCCAGTCTGGTCTATACTGCAGGTCACAGCGTATACCCTGCCAGTCACAGCCCAGTCTGGTCTATACTGCGAGTCACAGCGTCTACCCTGCCAGTCACAGAGTCTACCCGGCCAGTCACAGCCCAGTTTGGTCTATCCTGTCAGTCACATCTCAGATTGGTATACCCTGACCATCACAGCATCTACCCTGCCCATCACAGTGCCTACCCTGCCCGTCACAGCGCCAATCATGCCAGTCACAGCAACTACCCTACCCTTCACAGCGTCTATCCTGCCTGTCACAGCATCTATCCTGTCAGTCACATCTCAGATTGGTATACCCTGACCATCACAGCATCTACCCTGCCCATCACAGTGTCTACCCTGCCCGTCACAGCGCCAATCATGCCAGTCACAGCAACTACCCTACCCTTCACAGCGTCTATCCTGCCTGTCACAGCATCTACCCTGACAGTCACAGCTCAAATTGGTTTGTCCTTCCCTTCACATCTTCTACCCTGCCAGTCACAGCATCTACCCTCACAGTCACAATGTCTACTCTCACAGTCAAAGCATCTACCCTGCCAGTCACAGCATCTACCCTCACAGTCACAATGTCTACTCTCACAGTCAAAGCATCTACCCTGCCAGTCAAAGCATCTACCCTGCCAGTCACAGACCAGTTTGGTCTATACTGTTAGTCGCAGCTTCTTCCCTCACAGTCAAAGCATCTACCTTCAGTTACAGCGTCTACCCTCACAGTCAAAGCGTCTACCCTGCCAGTCACAGACCAGGTGGTTTAAACTGTTAGTCGCAGCGTCCTCACAGTCAAAGCATCTACCCTCAGTCACAGCGTCTACCCTCACAGTCAAAGGATCTACCTTCACAGTCACATCGTCTACCCTCACAGGCAAAGCATCTACCTTCAGTCACAGCGTCTACCCTCACCGTCAAAGCATCTACCCTGCCAGTCACAGACCAGTTTGGTCTATACTGTTAGTTGCAGCGTCTACCCTCACAGTCAAAGCATCTACCCTCAGTCACAGCGTCTACCCACACAGTAAAAGCATCTACCCTCACATTTAAAGCATCTACCTTCAGTCACAGAGTCTACCCTCGCCGTCAAAGCATCTACCCTGCCAGTCACAGACCAGTTTGGTCTAAACTGTTAGTTGCAGCGTCTACCCTCACAGTCAAAGCATCTACCCTCAGTCACAGCGTCTACCCTCACAGTCACATCGTCTACCGTCACAGTCAAAGCATCTACCCTCAGTCACAGCGTCTACCCTCACAGTCAAAGCATCTACCCTCACAGTCACATCGTCTACCGTCACAGTCAAAGCATCTACCCTCAGTCACAGCGTCTACCCTCACAGTCAAAGCATCTACCCTCACAGTCACATCGTCTACCGTCACAGTCAAAGCATCTACCCTCAGTCACAGCGTCTACCCTCACAGTCAAAGCATCTACCCTCACAGTCACATCGTCTACCGTCACAGTCAAAGCATCTACCCTCACAGTCACAGCGTCTACCCTCACCATCAAAGCATCTACCCTGCTAGTCACAGACCAGTTTGGTCTAAACTGTTAGTCGCAGCGTCTACCCTCACAGTCAAAGCATCTACCCTCAGTCACAGCGTCTACCCTCACAGTCACAGCGTCTACTCTCACAGTCAAAGCATCTACCCTCACAGTCAAAGGATCTACCCTGCCATCTTAGACTGGTCTATTCAACCTGAAAGTAGAGCAACTTCTTATGGGGAAAGAAGTTGTCCACCTATCAGTTTATCTTAACTGTCCAAATAAATTGTAGCGGCCGAGCCCTGCAGTTAATTAATGTGCGATTAGTGCGTAAAGGAAAGCTTTGGTTTATGTAGTTATTCTGACCCCCTATTGCACAGCGTGAAACAATTTAACCTAACTGAAATATTTATATATTCTTTTACACATTACTATTAAATTAATTTGTTACCTGAGGGAGATTTGGATCTTTCGAAGGAAACCAATTACCGAGATAAGGAGTTTACATTAGTTATTTGCAAGCACTCTTTTAACTGTAATTATTGAATTTCTACAAAAACAACAGCATCTTATCTTTGCCGAATTGGCAACGAGACAACTTTCTCAGGAAGATTTTTATAGTTAAGGAAATATTGTTCCAATGTTTCTGCAGCGTGCCCCGATCGTGCCAGAAATATGATTTCAGAAATCATTTTTCATCTGCTCAATTTTGATGTTAATGGCTTGTCTGAATTTAATTGCTAAACATGCTGACAACTATATTTAATATGCATTAACAATCAGTGTCAGCTTTATCCTGGGGATGATTGAACTGCAAACACTGTCTTTTCCAGCCGAGCAGGCGTAACTCAGGATGTATCATAAGTGTCATTGTATGTAGTAGGAGTATCACAGTATGTAATAGGAGTATCACAGTATGTAGTAGGAGTATCGCAGTATGTAATAGGAGTATCACAGTATGTAATAGGAGTATCGCAGTATGTAATAGGAGTATCGTAGTATGTAATAGGAGTATCGCAGTATGTAATAGGAGTATCATAGTATGTAATAGGAGTATCGTAGTATGTAATAGGAGTATCACAGTATGTAATAGGAGTATCGTAGTATGTAATAGGAGTATCACAGTATGTAATAGGAGTATCACAGTATGTAATAGGAGTATCGTAGTATGTAATAGGAGTATCTTAGTATGTAATAGGAGTATCTTAGTATGTAATAGGAGTATCATAGTATGTAATAGGTGTATCGTAGTATGTAATAGGAGTATCACAGTATGTAATAGGAGTATCGTAGTATGTAATAGGAGTATCACAGTATGTAATAGGAGTATCACAGTATGTAATAGGAGTATCACAGTATGTAATAGGAGTATCGTAGTATGTAATAGGAGTATCGTAGTATGTAATAGGAGTATCACAGTATGTAATAGGAGTATCATAGTATGTAATAGGAGTATCGCAGTATGTAATAGGAGTATCATAGTATGTAATAGGAGTATCATAGTATGTAATAGGAGTATCAAAGTATGTAATAGGAGTAATGCAGTATGTAATAGGAGTATCATAGTATGTAATAGGAGTATCGTAGTATGTAATAGGAGTATCATAGTATGTAATAGGAGTAACACAGTATGTAATAGGAGTATCGCAGTATGTAATAGGAGTAATGCAGTATGTAATAGGAGTATCATAGTATGTAATAGGAGTATCATAGTATGTAATAGGAGTATCATAGTATGTAATAGGAGTATCAAAGTATGTAATAGGAGTAATGCAGTATGTAATAGGAGTATCATAGTATGTAATAGGAGTATCGTAGTATGTAATAGGAGTATCATAGTATGTAATAGGAGTAACACAGTATGTAATAGGAGTATCATAGTATGTAATAGGAGTATCTTAGTATGTAATAGGAGTATCACAGTATGTAATAGGAGTATCGTAGTATGTAATAGGAGTATCGTAGTATGTAATAGGAGTATCACAGTATGTAATAGGAGTATCGTAGTATGTAATAGGAGTATCACAGTATGTAATAGGAGTATCACAGTATGTAATAGGAGTATCACAGTATGTAATAGGAGTATCGTAGTATGTAATAGGAGTATCACAGTATGTAATAGGAGTAACACAGTATGTAATAGGAGTATCATAGTATGTAATAGGAGTATCGCAGTATGTAATAGGAGTATCATAGTATGTAATAGGAGTATCATAGTATGTAATAGGAGTATCAAAGTATGTAATAGGAGTATCGCAGTATGTAATAGGAGTATCATAGTATGTAATAGGAGTATCGTAGTATGTAATAGGAGTATCATAGTATGTAATAGGAGTAACACAGTATGTAATAGGAGTATCGCAGTATGTAATAGGAGTAATGCAGTATGTAATAGGAGTATCATAGTATGTAATAGGAGTATCATAGTATGTAATAGGAGTATCAAAGTATGTAATAGGAGTATCAAAGTATGTAATAGGAGTACCGTAGTATGTAATAGGAGTATCGTAGTATGTAATAGGAGTATCAAAGTATGTAATAGGAGTATCACAGTATGTAATAGGAGTATCACAGTATGTGATAGGAGTACCGTAGTATGTAATAGGAGTATCGTAGTATGTAATAGGAGTATCATAGTATGTAATAGGAGTATCGTAGTATGTAATAGGAATATCACGGTATGTAATAGGAGTATCGCAGTATGTAATAGGAGTATCATAGTATGTAATAGGAGTATCACCGTATGTAACAGGAGTATCGCAGTAAGTAATAGGAGTATTGTAGTATGTAATACGAGTATCGTAGTATGTAATAGGAGTACCATAGTATGTAATAGGAGTATCACAGTATGTAATAGGAGTATCACAGTATGTAATAGGAGTACCATAGTATGTAATAGGAGTACCATAGTATGTAATAGGAGTATCGCAGTATGTAACAGGAGTATCGCAGTAAGTAATAGGAGTATTGTAGTATGTAATAAGAGTATTGCAGTATGTAATAGGAGTATCAAAGTATGTATTATAAGGAACATAGTAAGCAAGAGGAGTATCACAGTATGTGATAGGAGTAATGCATTATGTAATAGAAGTTATCATAATATGTAATGCAGTATGTAATAGGAGTATTGCAGTATGTAATAGGAGTTTTATATTATGTAACAGAAGTAATGCAGTATGTAATAGGAGTATTGCAATATGTATTATAAGGAACATAGTAAGCGATATGAGTATTACAGTATGTAATAGAAGTATCACAGTATGTAACGGGAGTATCACAGTATGTAATAGGAGTATTGCAGTATGTATTGTAAGGAACATAGTAAGTGATAGGAGTATCACAGTATGTAATAGGAGTATCACAGTATGTAATAGGAGTATCACAGTATGTAATAGGAGTACCATAGTATGTAATAGGAGTATCACAGTATGTAATAGGAGTATCATAGTATGTAATAGGAGTATCACAGTATGTAATAGGAGTATCGTAGTATGTAATAGGAGTATCAAAGTATGTAATAGGAGTATCACAGTATGTAATAGGAGTACCGTAGTATGTAATAGGAGTATCACAGTATGTAATTGGAGTATCGTAGTATGTAATAGGAGTATCAAAGTATGTAATAGGAGTATCAAAGTATGTAATAGGAGTATCACAGTATGTAATAGGAGTATCGTAGTATGTAATAGGAGTATTGCATTATGTAATAGGAGTATCTCAGTATGTAATAGGAGTATCATAGTATGGAATAGGAGTAATGCAGTATGTAATAGGAGTATTGCAGTATGTATTATAAGGAACATAGTAAGCGATAGGAGTATCAAAGTATGTAATAGGAGTATCACAGTATGTAATGGGAGGATCATAGTATGTAATATGAGTATTGCAGTATGTATTGTAAGGAACATAGTAAGCGATAGGAGTATCACAGTATGTAATAGGAGTATCGCTGTATGTAATAGGAGTATCATAGTATGTAATAGGAGTAATGCAGTATGTAATAGGAGTAATGCAGTATGTAATAGGAGTATCATAGTATGTAATAGGAGTATCGCAGTATGTAATAGGAGTATCACAGTATGTAATAGGAGTATCATAGTATGTAATAGGAGTATCGCAGTATGTAATAGGAGTATCACAGTATGTGATAGGAGTATCGTAGTATGTAATAGGAGTATTGTAGTATGTAATAGGAGTAATGCAGGATGTAATAGGAATATTGCAGTATGTATTATAAGGAATATAGTAAGCGATATGAGTATCGCAGTATGTAATAGGAGTATCGCAGTATGTAATAGGAGTATCACAGTATGTAATAGGAGTATTGTAGTATGGGCATACTAGTGGGTTTGGTAGGGAAGCAGTTAAAGGTTTTACAGATATTACACACGTTGCGACCATGGGTTAGTGGAGATGTTTGGTATCTCTGTGGGTGAGTTGGAGTGTGCAATATTTCACAGTAAACAGCAAAAAAGGCGTCCATCATGCAGGACGTGCCATGTGGAGCTCGGAGTGCTTCCTTATTCTTTGGGGCATTTTGCAGCCGGAATCCAGAGATTTGGGCAATCTATACTGTGATTAATCTGTTGTTTGGATGGTGTATAGAGTTTTATTTTTTGAAGTTTACATTTAAAACATTTGGGTTTTGCAGAATTTGGATAAAAAAAGTCCAAAGAGCACACGATAGGAGTGTGGTGATGTGGGTGGTCTCAGGACACACAGCGTGTTCCGTTGGGTTGGTTTAGGCTTGTATACAGTGAGTGTGAAGGAAGCCAGGTATAGGGGTATCCTAAACAAAAAGATACACAGAGAACGGCAAAATTCACCAAAATCCAACAGACAGGCTAGGTGTTTAGCCTCGGTTTCAATATTTTGTATAACTTAGTCTGTTATTGAACAGGAAAGCTTAGCACAGAATACCCAAACAATAAAGTATCGACCTGCTGTTCTTTTTTTTTTTTAAATGGATATATTTTACATAAAGATTTGCGTTTTTGGGGGGGAGAAGGACTCTGATTTACTGTTTCATCACTATAATTAAACTCCAAATCTTGCCTTGCAACCCCTCGGCTTTCTTTTCTAAAAGGCCACGCTTAATTTTAACTCCTTGAAGGGACTCTCCATTCAGCTTCCTTGTCCTTGGCACTTTTGTAAATTAATCTTGCTACACCCTCCTGACTGTCAATCAGACACCCGGTCCTGTTACTTCCTGGATTGGTTAGCTCAGTGGAGATACCTTCTAGAGACAGCAATTGCCCAGAGCACCTGCTTTGCAAAGACTTCTCATTGAGCAGAATTGGGAAGTCTGTGATTGGACAGACAGAAAGTCTGGGCGGGGCTAGAAAAGGAAAGCTTGCAGGCAGCAGATAAGAGATCTGCAACATTTACAAGATAATCTTTGATATACTCCCAATGAAAATATGTGTAATTAGGTGGATGGAAGCTTTCATTGGGGATATATCTACTAAAGAGTAGCTTGCTTCCTAATGTCTAAACCAGCGGTTCTCAAACTGTGTGCCACGGCTCCCGACGGGCACACAGGGGAGCTGCAAGTTATTTTCCCAGTGTTATCATCATAGCACCGGGCACTGTGCTCTCCCTTGCCGGCTCTGCAGGACCGGAGGGACGATCAGGGATCTCTCTCTGGCCCGCTAGCACTTTGCTGGCAGCCGGCAGGGGAGGGAGAGAGAAAGGACCCGGGGGAGCTCTAACTTGCAGCTCCGAAGGGTTCTGCTCTTGCGAGCTCAGAGCATTGCCGCGGTTGCCTAGGCAACTCTAGCAGCTCCTGAGGCTGCTAGAGTTCACTGTCACCACCAGGGATTGCAGGAAATGTCCACCCTCCCAGGCAAGGGGGGACATCATTTTTATTTTTAATTAAAAAAACATATATATACATATATATTCCCCTGTGTTCCCCCGTGTTCCGAGCAGTATTCCCCCGTGTTCCGAGCAGTATTCCCCCCGTGTTCCGAGCAGTATTCCCCCGTGTTCCGAGCAGTATTCCCATGTGTTCCGAGCAGTATTTCCCAGTGTTCCGAGCAGTATTCCCCCGTGTTTCGAGCAGTATTGCCCTCTGTTTAAGTATTATGCCCCTGTGTTCTGAGCAGTATATTTTTTTGTCGTTCTAATTTTGGTGGGAGTGTTTTCTTATTGATATATTTACTTTTACTACATTCCCCTGTGTTCCGAGCAGTATTTATCTGTGTTTTGAGCAGTGTTCCTCTGTTCTGAGCAGTATACCTATGTGATCCTAGCAGTATTCCCCTGTGTTCCGAGCAGTATTCCTCTGTGTTCTAAGCAGTATTCCCCTGTGTTCCACACAGTATTGCCCTCTGTTTATTTATTATGCCCCTGTGTTCCAAACAGTATGTTATTTTGTCGTTCTAATTTTGGCAGGAGTGTTTTCATATTGATATATTTTGCTACATTCTCCCATGTTCCAATCAGTATTCCCCCGTGCTCTGAGCAGTATTCCCCCCGTGCTCCGAGCAGTATTCCCATTTGTTCTGATCAGTATTCCTCTGTTCTGAGCCATCATTTCCCTGCCATCTCTCTGTCTCATTTGCATCTTTATTCTCTGCATATCATGTACTGACACTCCGCACCCTTCAGTGTCAGACTGCCCCGCAATGTCTCTCACCACCTTTTCCAAACTTGTTTATCCATGGATCCTCAGCATCTCTTTATCGAAACCCAATTACTCTCTCAAGCTCTTCCTCCAATGTTGTTTCGTTGTTTTTTTGTTGCCCCCCCTTCTTTTATTCCCTACATCGCCCATTCCTTGCAGCCCCCCTATATCGCCTTTTTCTCATCATTTCAATCTTCAGTTCTCCCCCACCCCAGATTTTAGAAGTCTAGCATTGTAGAGCCATCTTTATCACATGGCACCATGTGATT